TCTAGGCTGCTTCCTCAAATAAGGGCCACTGCAGCTGCCTCTTTGCCTTCTCCGGCTCCTCCCGTGGCACTTGTCCTTTCTGCAGCCCCTTTTCTTCTGCACCTGCCAGCCCAGCTCCAATTATGCTTCAGCTGGTCTGGGGGCCATTAGGGGCTCAACTGTATTGCAGCAAAGCCTTTCTTTTCCAGGCCACGTGAGCCCCAAAAGTCTCTGTCTCCCCTCAAACCTGGCACCCCCCCTCCCTTCCTCTCTCGTGGGACTCAGCCCGGATCCATTTTCCCTTCAGGTACTCTATGGGGAATGACCCTGCCCACTGGCTGGCTGTCCACCCAGAAACCGGCATCATCACCGCCAAGGCACCCCTGGACCGGGAGTCCCCCTTTGTCCAGAACAACACCTACAGGGCTATCCTGCTGACTGAGGACGATGGTAAATATTGCTGGGCGGATGAGGGAGCCCCCCCCCACTCGTGGCTGGGGAATAAAGTGCTCCTTTGTTGAGCTGAGAGCTGCCCATGTGAGGGGCACATGGTGGCCGGCTGCGGAGGCTGCCCAGTCATGAGAACCAGCCAGGAGAGGGGAGGTCCCTGCTACTGAAGAGCTGCACAGAGAGAAGGCCATGCCCACCAGGGGGATCAGCGTTCCTGCCCCAACTTCCTGGAGGGGCCTTACCCCTGAAGATCTACCTTGTACTGGTTCAGACTAAGCTGTAATGCCCGACTGTGCCCCATTCTGAGCTCACTCTGCTGTTAGCCAGAGCCAAGGTGGGGGATTTCCTGGGCAGACACAGCAGCCTCCGGAGCAACAGTGGACTGGTTGCCAGCGGGAGCCTTGGAGAGAAATGGGGCAAGATATAGTAGGAGAATTGGGGGCTGTAGGGGTGCAGAAGTGGGCTTGTTCCCCCTTCCTTTGAAACAGCCTGAAGCATTTCAACTCAACAGTTGCACATCTTTATAATCTGGCTTTTGCTGCTGTTCTGTTTTAAACATTGCTCACACACACCCCCACACAGGAAGCCCCCCAGCAACAGGGACGGGAACACTGCTGCTGACCCTCCTAGATGTGAATGACCACGGTCCCGAGCCCGACCGGCGGAAGTTCACTGTGTGCAACCACAATCCAGCACTCCAACTGCTGCGCATCTCAGACAAAGACCTTCCCCCCCACACTTCCCCTTTCCGGGCTGAGCTCATCCACAACTCGGAGGAGAACTGGGCAGTCGAGATGGACAGTGAAGGTGGGCTGCCTCGGTGTCCTGGGAAATGGGCACTTCCAAAAAGCTCGGTGCCAGGGTAGACACCCCCATCCGGCACGTGTGTCCTCTGCCCTCTGGCTCACCAAGAACAATTCATCTCCCGCAGTCCGGCAGGTGGATTGGTTCCCAGGAGGAGGGAGGAGAGGTGACCCAGCCCTTCCTCCGAAAGCCTGGGTGGGCATTTGGTCTGACCATTTTCTCTCTGGTGCCCATCTGACTCCTTCAGGGGAGACGGCCATCCTGAAGCTGCTGAAGCCCTTGAAGCGAGAGACCTACGACGTCTACCTGCGGCTCCTGGACCAGCAGGGCAAGTCACACCTGACCATCCTCAGGGCAACCGTCTGTGAGTGCGAGGGAGAGGTGGACGAGTGTCCGGAGGGGCGGATAGCTGTCGTTGGGGCGCCCATCATCCTTGCCGTCTTGGGGGCCGTTTTGGCCCTTCTGAGTGAGTATGCAAAGGGCTGCCCTGCCCTTGTGGGGATGGGGTTCAAGAGGCCGGGCTTTGTCTCCCAGCTGGTAGAGTCGCACATCAACCAGACACTGCTTTTGAGAATGACCACAGCTGGGCGACGTCTCCAGCGAGGCTGACAGACGCAGAGCATGGCTTTCTCTGGCCATATGAAGAAGCCTTAGGTGTGAATTACTTCTTCATACCACCCCCATAATACTGAGGACTAGGAACATGGCTGCCCAGGAGTATGGTGGATGGGTCGCACCCTCACTTGGCTGCGACTTCAGCAGAAGCACCCACTGAGCTTGGCCGGATTCTGTGTTCCAGTCCTGCTGCTGCTGCTGCTGCTCTTCGCAAGGAGGAGGAAGGTGGCAAAGGAGCCACTGCTGCTGCCAGAGGATGACACCCGGGACAACATCTTCTACTATGGCGAAGAAGGAGGGGGCGAGGAGGATCAGGTGGGCCCCCCAGGGAAGGGCCGAGCTCCAGTTGGTGATTGTGCCTGCGGGTGCAAGCTTTGCCCAGCATCAAGGCCCTTTGGGGGAAGGAGCTGGGGGTGCTTCTCAGGGCACCCTCCTCCCTCGGCCAACTGGCTCCTCCTTCTCTGTCCCAAAAGGACTACGACCTCAGCCAGCTGCACCGGGGACTGGACCCCCGCCCAGAGGTCCTCTTGCGGAATGACGTTGTGCCAACCCCTTTGCCAGCACCGCAGTATCGCCCCCGCCCTGCAAACCCTGACGAGATCGGCAACTTCATCTGCGAGGTAAGGGAGGCTGTGGGGGCAGGGCAGGCCCTGGCATCTCCCACTCCTCTGCCTTGGGGGTTGCCTCACTGGATCTTCTGCCCACTGTAAGCAGGCAGAGCCACCCTGCCCTGAAGGTAACTGGGGGGGGGGTTTATACATTTAGGGAAATTATTATTATTCAGATAAGGACTCTACAATCAACTGAACCCCATTTGAAGGCTGATCCTGTAGGTTCTAGGTTTCCCGCCAGGGCCCACAGCCTACAGTTCCAAATTTGGAGCAGCTCAGGACTGCCTTCGCCTCAGGCCGGCCCTGCCCAGATTAGCTGGGATGAGGAGGCATCTGAAGTTCCGCATATGCCACTGCCCCATAGACAGATGCCCCACCTGCTTCCTCCTTTCTCACCCAGAACCTGAAGGCTGCTGACTTGGACCCCACGGCGCCTCCCTACGACTCCCTGCTGGTCTTTGACTACGAGGGTGGGGGCTCCGAGGGGGGCTCCCTCAGCTCCCTCAACTCCTCGGCCTCCAGTCAGGACCAGGACTACGACTACCTGCACGAGTGGGGCAGCCGCTTCCAGAAGCTGGCAGACCTGTACGGGGGAGGCGTGGCTGACTAGGGGGCTCTGCCCTGCAGCCAAACCCCTCCCCAAAGCTGTGCTGATGACCGCCACTGCTTGGCCACCCTGACCACCACGCCATGTTGGAAGCAAAAGGGGCCGCCGTGGCCTCTGAGGGGCTCCAAGAGACGAACCTTTGACGTCTTTTGCAGAGGAGCAGCTCCCAGTCTGCTTCCTGGGCAGTCTCCTCACTGACCTCGATCTGGGGCTTCCCGGCTATCTGCAGCTGGGGGGGCTTCCCCAGATGGGCCTGGCAGGGAGGGGGGGCTGGCGGCTGCCAGGATGATGGACCCTCCGCCTTCCTGACCTCCTTCGATGCCTCTCTTCTCTCATGTATTGTAGCTCAGTTAGGACTTGAGATTTCTTTTCTGTTTTTATAGCATGTGTGAAATAACTTGATAATCACTAAAGGGCTGGACAATCAGGATGTAAAGTTTTAATAAAAGCTTTTTTAAAAAATTCACCACAGACCTGTGTCATGTTTTCTGAGGGAACCAAGCCTGTCCTGTACCTGAAGAGCAGCAACTTTTACTGTATCTGTTGCCAGCCTTCACAAAACCCCAACCACTTAGGTGAGGCATCTGGCCCTCCCCAAACACTCCCTGTTTTCTCACATCTCCTTCCCACCCGAAGTCCCTCCACTGCAGCCCTCCTGGCTTCTCCCCTTTCCCTCCCCTTTCCCCCAGCCGCTCAGCCAGGAGGATCAAGGGGGGGGGGGGGGCATGTTCTGTTCTGGGAGGGAAAAGAGAAGCCAGCCTGAAGCCAAGGTTTCCACTCTTAACCTTCCCCGGGGTCTTTCACCTGCATCATGCTGCACCCTGGATGGGTGGGATACCTGGGTGCTCTGGAGACGGCAACTGCTCCCAGGGACACCCCCCCCCGCAGAAAGGCTCGCTCCCCGCAGCAGGAGGCCGGGAAGAGCCTTCGGGGCGAGCGGCAGCCCCTCGGGCCCCCCTTGCTCCTGGCCCTTGGCTGGCCGCCAGCTCCGCGCTCGCTCGACCGGTTCTTCCTGCCGCCGCGAGAGGCGGGCTGATCCTTAGCCGCGGATGGGGCTGGCAGCCCGCCCGCCCGGGACGAGAGGAGGCCAGCATTGCGAGGGGAGCGCAGCCCCCGCACCGCCCTGCCCGGGAAGGGATGCCCGGTGCAGCCCCGCGCCGCGTGGGCCGCAGAAGAGTGGGGTTGCCCGGCGCGAGCGCCGCCTCTCGGAGGGCAAGCGCTCGCAACTCCAGGCCAAAGGACCGGATCGCTCCGGGGTCGCCGGGGTCACCACCGCCTGGGATTCAGTCAGCAAGCCCGGCTCACGCGTGGCGCAGACTTGGCCGCCCCTCGGCTCAGGCAGTTCCCGGGCAGCTCAGCGGAAGGCGCAGACTGGCGAGCGCTCCTCCGACGGCCCCGGCGCCGCTGCCCCTCGGCCCCTCCCCGGGCCACAGCGGCGCAGTTTCATGCAGCTCTTCCCGGCCACCCTCGCCCAGGAGCCCCGGCGCCGCCCGCGCAAGGCGCCCCTCCGCCCAAGCGGGCGCCCGGGCTCGACGAGGGCGCCCTCGGAGCCGGCGGCTTCTGCCCCCCGCAGCTGGGAAGGAGGCGTCCTCCTCTCCCTGGCCCGGGCGGCCGTAGCCATCGGGGAGCAGCCGGGCGGCGGCTGAAGCCACCGGGGGCGCCTTTGGCGGCCGAGCGCTCGGCCAGGGCCGGCAGGGAGAAAGCGGGCGGGCAAGGGCCGGTCCGCCCCCTCCCGCCCCCCCGCCCGGCCGCACCTGCGGATCCCGCGGGCCAGAGCGGGGGCAGGGCGAGGCCGCCGGGCGCCGCCCCCTCCTCCCTGGGGCGGGGCTTCCTGTGCGGGCGGAGCCTCACCTGCCACAACCGGAGCGGCAGCCTGGCCGAGGCAAAGTTTGCTGCGATGGGGACCCAGGCGGGGCTCGGCCTGCTGCTGCTGCTGCTGCTCCAGGTAAGACGGGGCGGGTGCTGCCGCTCCGGCCGCCGGAGCCCTTCGGCTTAGCCGCGTTGGGGACCCCTCCCAGGGAGTGGCTGATGGGTCTCTTTCCCGCCTTGTTTTCTGAGCGCCCCTCAGCTCCCCTTCCCCGCCCAGCCACTCCTGGGTCCAGCAGGGCCCCACTCTCCCCCTTCCCCTGGGTCTCTGGCCCGGAACCTTCCTCTGCTGGGAGGCTCCACCTCGGACTCTGTGATCCCTTCGGAAGGCTTTGCCCCAGGGGGGCTCCGGGGGCTCCAGACCCCCACTTCCTTCCCCAGGGGCTTCCTCTGGATGAGTGGGTCAGGGCGCCTTTTGGGCTGTGCACCCCCCCCACCTCCCCTGATTCCCGTCTTTGGCTTCCCAGGGTGAAAAGGTGCTCAGCGTGGACGGGGCAGAGGCCTCTTGCCGGCCAGGATTCAACTTGGAGGCCTACATGTTCGGGGTGCCCAGGCGGGCCTTGCAGAGGGGCCAGAAGCTGGGCAGAGGTGAGAGACCCCCTGGGCCGTTGCTGGCTGCCCAGTCTTGGCTGGAGGGTGAGGGAGAGAGTGAATGGTGTTCCCCCCCTTCCAGATAGGAGGGCATCTTGTGCTGCTGCTGCTGGCGTTGGAGGAAGGAGAGGAGATTTGGGTTGCATTCAGATTCCTTTTCCATTTCCTGCTTTGTGAAAGGGAAAGTGTCGGCTCTTTGGGGAATCTGTAAAATGGGTATGGCGACCTTCTGTCTCTCTTAAGACGGAGGACCACTCAGTGAAGCATTAAAAGTGGGAGTTTCCATCCAGAAGGATGAATTTCAGTCCTCAAAAGGCTGATCTTATTCAGCTCCATTAGACCAAGTGCTTCACGTGCGAGGGTTGACTACACTGCTTACTAATTTATTTTGTTTTTGTTCTTATTGTTTTTTCTGGTAAAGTTTTTAAATAATGTTGCAATCCATCCAGAATTTGGTGCAGTGGGGCAGCTTGGAAGTATTTCCAAGAATAATTTCCACCTCCAGGGTTGCTGTCTTTGTATTAATGACTTCAATATATTGTTTCTGGTTTTAAACCTTGTAAGCTTCCCAGATTTGTTGGCAACTTAGAAATGTACATTGCAAATAAATAAAAATATAGTCATGCTAAGAAGTTCCCAGAGTTCCTGTCTGGGGCAGTTTAAAATGTAAAATGTAAGAGGAAGGCCCAAGGCTGTGGCCCTCGGCGGCAGCCCGAGGGAGGAAGAGGAAGCCTCAGCTTTCTCCCGAACTGAGCTCTGTGGTGAGACACCCCAAGGAAGCCGTGCAGGTATTTCCAGTCAAGGCCCAGTGAGAGGGACAGCTGGGAAGCAGCCTCCCTGCTGTCCTTGGAGCCAGGCACGGGTTACCTGCCTGGCTCAGGTAGTTTCCACCTGGCCTTTTCCTCCTCTGGCAAAGCAAGGTGGAGCTTGGCAGGAGGGTGAGGCCTGCTTCTCCTTGCAGCTGGGCAGGGTTGGGCCTGCACAGGCGGTGTGTGTGTGTGTGTGTGTGTAGGCGCACACAAGCACTGTTTGAACTCTGATGGTCGCTTCTGGCTTCCTGCTGGCACTTGAGCCGTTGGGATGAGCCTGAGAGGAGGTGGCTGCCCCTTGTGCTGTGTCAACAGCCTCCAGTGAATCATTTACTTGGCTTCAGCCGAGCTGCTGATTTTTCAGCCCTGCTTCAAAAAGTCCCTCCGAACTGACCTTGCCTCTCAGCACAAACCGAGCAAGGGTCCAAGCTGGTTTCCCAACACCCGGCCTAGCCCTCCCCCTGCCGTACTGGGTTGGTGCTGGTTTTTTGATCTGGGCACTTTCACTGTTCACATCCGGCACCCGAGGCAGCAGCTGCAGAGCCAAACCAGGATGCTCTTTTGCATAACTGGGGAGTTAACTCCAATCCCGGCCTCTTCAGGGCTCTCAGTGCATCAGTTAGGATTTTTTCATTCAGTATATATTTTTGTTTTCGGGAATCCTTAATGCCAGCTTCTTCAACAAGTGTCCAGAAAAAAATTTCTATGTGTGCTTTGCTATGAAGAACAGATGTGGGAGGAACAGTTCAGAAAGATCTTCAGGTGGCTGAGTTGATGATAAATATGAAATGAAGAGTCTGCAACAAAGAGAAACTGAGTGGAACATTTTAATCATGTTCTGGTACCAGCTAATTTCAAAGAGACCTTAGATTAGTTTTCACATAGCCAGACTTTGAAAGTACAACCGTACTTGGGGTCAAACAATGTGGCTTATTGCTGGCCGTCGGAGGTTGCTTTTTCCAAGAGGCAACTGGACCTTCTTGTTTTTTCCCTTTGGAAACATTTTGCTTCTCATCTCAGAAGCTTCTTCAGTTCAGAACTTCAGAACTGAAGAAGCTTCTTGGATGAGAAGTGAAACATTTTCAAAGAAAAAGCCAAGAAAATACAGTTGCCTGTTGGAAGGGGGAAAAAAAAAGCACTTTTGGGGCAACCATGACCTGGATGATTGAGCATCTCCACAGACACTTATTGTCTGGCCTAACGTTAAGAAAGGCACACCCAAATCTGATCTCCCCTCAGCTCATGTCCTTGTGAAAGCAGTGAGTGGGTTTCACTCAGGGGCTTGGGGAGAACCTGTGATCTGCCCAGAGGTTAGTCCTGGTCTTGTGAAGCAGACTCGGCTCAGGGCAAACACGGCAGGAGGGAACAAGGGATTGGTTTTAGTCTCAGTGGTAGAGACAGGGGAAGGCTGCAAATGGAGCCCAGGGTTTCTACTCTTTGTGGGGCTGAGAGGAGGAAATCCCTCGAGTGAAAAGTGAATATCGTTTTATTACTGCACTTGTGTTGCAGTTTTAAAACTTTAAAGCTTCTTTCGACTCAAGAAGCATCCAACCCCTTCTGCATAAAATAATACTACCAAAACATAACATATTTTGGTATGTTGTCCTTAGTTCATTTCTTTCTGGGAAGTTTTGATTATTCAATGGCCTCTATGAACAAAAAGGCTAAACCAAGTTAAATTACAATGGATTGTCCATGAAAGCTACTTACACACCCACTTGGGTGCCAACAAATGTAATGTCTGTGGCTAAGAATTTTAAATATTTTCTCAGCTGCTTACAGAACAAAAGAATCAAATATTTTCCAGTGTTCTAAGGTTTTCATGGATAATTCTGGAGGCCTTTCAGCCTTTGTGGATCATCTTCAGAAACAGCATTGTCAAAGCCACCAGCAGAACAAAACTTGTCTAGTTGGTTTTACCTGGTTCATCAGATGCTCTACCAGCTCCTCTATCCAGATGCCTTCCAGAAGTGCTGGAAAGTCTGGGAGTTGCACGTAGTTCCGAATGACGGGAGACTGTCAGGGACAGAAAAACTGAATTCAGGGCAACTGTAGATCTGGACATAGCAATCAAGGGGAAGAGGGCTGGTCTAAAACGATGTTGCCTCTTCCATTTTTCAAGCCTTGTGTTTCTGAGAGTAAGTTTCTCTAGTCTGTCATCATGTTGGTCTGTGAGCCCTGGTTTGTGTATTGCTTGGCATTAGATGGGAGGACAGCTTTCTTAGGCCAGGCCTTGTTATGATTAAGACTCCCTTTAATCAGCCTCTTAGGCCAGAGGTCCCCAACCTTTGGGGCACCAGGGACCAGTTCTGTGGAGAGAGGTTTTTCCGCCAACCAGAGGGGACATGGTTTTGTGTGCTGCCTGCATCCTGTGGATGGGGCTTTCTTTGTTTGTGCGGACCAGTTGCTGACATGCCGCGGCCCGGTACTGGTCAACAGACCGGGGCTTGGGGACCCCGTCTTAGGCCATCTGCATTCACAGGGACCTTTATTTGGACAAATTGCTCATTCAATAGCTACCTTGCTTTCTTTTCCAGTCTGAACTGGAGCTGTTACTGAGTGCTGCTGTGAATAATAAAAGGACTTGAACCTTTATTCTTAATAGTTTTTAAGGTGTGGCGTCAAACTTTGAAAGGCGGCTAAAAGGGACTGCCTTGAATTGAATGTCTTGTAACTCTCTGTGTGTCTCTGGTCTGCTGCCATCTTAAGAGTTCCTCCGGAGCGGTCTCTCTTTCCTGGGGGCCACCTTTGCATCGGTTTCCCATGTTGTTTTCCAGGTTCAGCTAGCGTAGTCTGAGTGCGAAAGAGGATCCCCTTTGATAGATGTGGCTGGTTGGAGACTAGGCAGCCATTGGTGGGGCATGTTTGAGGTTTGATCCTTGTGCTGAGCTACTGGTAGGAGTTGATGACCTCAAGGACCCTTTCGAATTGTTCCTCAACATAGTGTGTGAGTGTGTATGCACGCAATACTTTCATTATTCACGCATTGCAACATTTAAAGGAAGCTGAGTCAGGTTTTGCTGCTCCAGAATGAGTCCCAGTGCATCTCTGGTGTGACTCTTCCTGTGGTTTTCTCTGAGACTTTGGGGCCATCTGCTCCAGCTGTTTGGCAAGAGGTTCCATCAGACGTGGCTCCATGACTGAGAGGCTGAGCCTTGATTCGCGCCTCTGCCCTCGTTGGACTTGGTGGCCTTCAATCCACCAAAGCCTTAGCTCAGCCTCCTGTGTCCAAATGTTTGCCCTCTTGGGCGAAGCACGCTCTGATCTGCCTCTGGAGGCTGTTCATAAGATGGCTTGTTTCAAAATCTTGGCTCGGCATTTCTCAGAAATCATATATATATATATATATATGATGCATGGGTGTTGCATGGGTGATGGAGCATCTGGCCTTCCACCCACCTGATTACACACCTTATGCAAACGAGGCCCGAGTGTGGATGATCAAGGGAAGCCCCCCTGGCCCTCAGAGCCCAGGTGGCCACATCTCTGCAAATGAAAGAGGAAAGCCAGCCTGTTCCAAGCTGGCACACTCAGTGACTGGGCAGGGGTGTAATTAGGCAGCCTTGGGAGCCCCAAGGGAGGGGCCACCTCTAGCCAGTGCTCAGATCAGCCCTCAGGCATGGCAGGGAGTGGGCCTGGGTCCCACCTAGGAGGCCCAGGAGCAAAGGCTGCCCTGTAATTAGAGCCAGAGCTGTATCCTCCTGCTGCTCTTGCTGTGGAAATGAATGTTTGCGGGGAAACTCACCCCACTGACCCCCTTCAGACCCCTCCAGAGCCAAGGGTCTCAAACCCAGATGCAGCAGCGTCCTGGGGGCTAGGCAGCTGCCTTGCTGGCTCCATGGCTTAGCCCAGCTTGGAGATGCCAGGATCTGCCTTCTGCCAGCTGAGTCTCACTGAGCCTTATGCCCCCCCCCCCCCCGCTATTCCAGCAAGGTGGCCATAAGGAAAGCAGTGCCACTTCGGTAAGGCAGGTTTTGACCTGGGCAAATAGAAGCAGCCTCAGGCAGGCAGCCTCAGACCCTCCCTAAGCAGCCCCAGGGTCCTGATTCAACCCCTGTGGCTCCTTCTGCAGACAAGGCTTCCTCCTGGAGCCCCACAGGGGGTCTTCCTCCGTCCTTTGCTGCATTTCTGGGATTTGCCTCCCCTCCCCCCACCAACTGACCTGCTTCACCCAATTTAAGAGAGACTTTTCAGAGCGGGAAACTCCCACGGGGCTGGTGAAAGCTTCAGTCCTCTGAATCAGCTTTCAGGTGAAACTCTTGTTCTGCAACTTGGAAAGTCATGGTGAAACTCCAAGATGAGGTCACTGCTCGAGAGTCTGGCTCCTGCCCGGGAGGGGGGGGAGGGAATTGCCCCCCCCGCCTCCTTTGACACATCCGAGGCACCGGATGACCTTCCCCCGCTCCTTCCCTGGCTGTCGGAGGTGACGCCAGGGCCACTTTCGTCACACGGGTGGGGGGGAAACAGGCAGCACTCAGTGCCGGCAGGGATGGTGGCCCTGAGGCAGGGAAGGGCCCGCCTGGGGCTCAAGGTGGGGCGGGGCAGGAGGCGGGCTTTGCCAGTCAAGGCGTGCAGCCATTGGTGGCTTCCTGGAATCCTCCTGGGTTTCTGGCTCTGCTCATTGTCCCTCCTTTTCTGTCCTGGCCAGCCAGGTTTCGGGGCGTCCTCAGCCTGTAGCCACAGCTGGCTAGGCAAGGCAGTGGTTAACTGAGGTGCCTGGTTTTATGGCCTTCTTTGCCACCTGTTATTAAGTGAGTCACTGAAGCTGTTAAGCGAACCACGCGGTCATTAAGCGAATCCAGCTTCCCTCGTTGACCTTGCTTGTCAGAAGCCAGCTGGGAAGGTCGCAAATGGGGATCACAGGACCCCCCAGGATGCGGCAACCGTTGTAAATTCATGGTGGCTGCCAAGCACCCAAATTGTGCTGTGGGGACGCCGTGACAGTCATAAGCAGGAGGGCCGCTTGTAAGTTGGTTTCCTCAAAGCCTTTGTAATTTCAGTCACTAAACGAGTGATTGTACATTGAGGAATATCTGTTCCTCAATCTGTGCCACGCTCTGAAAACGTGGCAGCAGCCGCCACCATGTGTGTTCTTCCTCCTGTCCAGAATTGGACAAATGGGGGGGAAATATACACACACACACACATCTATTCCAAAGAGAACAAGAAATACTTTTAACATGCCCTGCTTCCTTGAAGGTGGCTAGCATGCATCTCGTGGCCAGGAGTTCTGCAGGTTCTTGCAGTGTGCTGTGAATCAGGACTTTCCCTTCGGGAAAGGACTCTCCTAACCTTCGGTTCCACTGACCAACCCCTTGGCGGGAGGGAGTGGCCCGGATGAGGAAGTGGGGCCTTTTTTTGTGGCTATCATGTTGATGCGCCCCACCCTGAGCTGGAATGTGGGAAGATGACACGATTATTTTCTTTTCCTGATAAAACCACCAAGGAAGCTCTGCCCATATTTGGCCTTGCATGAGGAGGTGGGGCTGGTTCATTCTGACTCTTCAGAATCCATACGAGCCACCACTAAAATGGGGAAGGGGACATTCCAGCCACCCTCTTGTTCACCTCTCTTCCCAGGCATTAATCTTAATTTCTGCTTTTTCCTGTTTCAGGGGCAGGAATTTTTGTTTTTAATTTTGAGCAGAGAAAAAAGAGCTTGCTTTTAGGGGCAGGGGCCCATCAGTCCCTGCGGCCCCTTCCCCTCTTTCCCTTGCCAGTGTCTTTTCAGAGGCAAGACAGCCTGGGGGAGGCAGGCAGGCAGGCAGGCAGAGTCCTCTGGGCTCAGAGCCGGTTCAGATCCAGCCAGGGGGTGCAGGGCTTCCCCCTTCAATTGCAAAGGATTGGGGGTCAGCGGCCTGGATTAGTCGAGGTGAAATGGGGGTGGGCCCCTCTTGAGGTTTATGAGCCAAAGATGCCCTGGAGGGTTTGGGTCTTCCAGAGAAGCACGAGAGAGGCCGGACCCCGCTGCTGTCAGTAAAGAGGGGCAGAGAAGTAGGCTTTTAAGCCCATTTTCCTGGACAGAGGACTAGAAACTTTTTAATAAGAAAACTGAGGTCCCAAGATGGTTGTTACAAAAATAAAATCACAAGATTTGCCACATTAAAAAGAAGAAAAGACAGCCAATGGCTTTTCTTTTTTGAGGAATGCATGGAACTAAGGTCTTGGCTGGAATGAACATGTGGCCCTACTTTGCAAGGGAGATTAGATGGGAGGGGAGAAAAACATCCTAAAAGCCTTTAGAGTGCAGGGACTTCATCGGTTTACCCCAAAAGCTTCTCATTCCACCTGGCCCTGGAAAGACGGAGATGCCTGCAGGTTAAATGCCTTTCTGGGCAGCTCGGGGGCCCAGGAGACGCCTCTCTTGTGGACCATCACTTGCTCCCTTCATCCAGCCCCTCCCCAGTTGAAGGAGACATCAGAGGTCTGCACCTGCTCCAGGGGAGACCAAAGATCAGTGTGGGGGGGGTCACCCCCTGAAGTGTGGCTTCCCATCCCCCATCCCTGCATCTTGCGAAGGAGAACCTGGGGCTCGGTGGGGGGGAGGGGATTTCCTCTGGAGCCCCCTTTCCCACGTTTGGCTCTTCCAGTGCTGAGGGTCTGGCCTGCGATGTGAGCACCTCCCCTCCCGTGGGCCCTCCCCTGCGGAGCCTGCCTGGGCTTGCACAGACGCCAGCAGGAGGCAGGCAGGCAGGCGCTCCTCCCAGGGCGAGAAGAACCCTCTCCTGCCCAGGCTTGGCAGAGGAATTGAGCACCGCCCCTCCCAAAGTGGGCTGGCTGGAGGAACCAGCTTGAGCTCCCTCCACGCCCTCTGCCTTCCCTGCCCCCCTCCCCCCCAGAAGGAGTCCAGGCATGCTGGCAGGACTGCTGTGTGCCCAGGTGGCTTCTGGGCCTCCGAGTCCAGGGCAGAGCCTGCCTGGGGGCCCGGGGCCAAAGGAGGGAGGGAGAGAGGGGCAGCCCAGCCTCTCACTCAGATGGCCCCTCCCAGCTGTTTCTTATGGAAAGAAAAGCTGTGAATGAACCCCAAAAGCAGATGTGAGAGATAAGAAGGCTTCCCCAAAGCTGAGGATTGGGTCTCACAGCTGTATAAATCACAATCTCCCTGGGTGTCCCTCAATCCTGGGAGGGTGAGGGAGCTTGCCATTGGTGGGTATTCCTGGGCAGGGGCTGCCTATGCCCCACGCGGCACCTTCTGCATTGATTCAGCTCCAGCAGCTCCACCGGTTCAGCCTCCCCTTCAGACTTGGTCGGGGGAGGGGGCTGTGGAGTCTCCCCTTGTCCCAAACTCCCTGCTCTTTGGACTGTGGCCTCTGCCAGCCATCGCAGAGAAGGAAGGTCTTGTCTCAGCGATGGTTCTGCCTTCGAGCTGGGCTGGGGAAAGCAGATGTGTCCCCTGCAGGGGGCACCTAACAAGCCTAACAAACCCGAATCAGCCTCCCGGGCGACCTGCTTGGCAGAGTAGATAAACCTGCATCGTTTCTTGTGATCACAGAAACAAGGTGCCTTTTAGTCTAGTGTGTTGTGGGAGCCCAGCCTGGGTGGTCAGTTTTGGGTCTGACCTGTTGTGAAACTCCAGAGGCGGAGTGAATGGAGTGGACCAGGGTTACCCTTCAGATGCCGCGTATTGTAAAGCATCAAATCCTGGAAAGTGGGGAGGAGCACTTGGTAGAATCTGCCTGACTAGGTGCGTGGATCTCTTTCTCTGGGCCAGCCAGGGACCAGGGACCTTTTGCCCTGTTTGGAGAGAAGGGTGGACCTGCTGCCCTCCTTGGGAGGGGGCCTTGGAGAGAAGCTTCTTGCCCTCCTCTGAGGGCATCTTGGCAGAGGATGATGAGAACGAACCAGGCTGCAACAGGCGCATCCCTGGGCTCAACCTCTCCGCGGGGCTAGAGCAGACCTCCCTGGGTCAAAATACCAGGGCTGGGGCGGAGAGCGCTGCTTATGGCAGGCCACGAAGTTTGTTTTTTTCCTGCAGCGATGGGGAGGTGGGCTGAGATGGTTGGAGAAACAGCACAAGCAGCCCGTGCCCCCCCCCCCGTGCCAGGACCCCCTGCGGCGGCTTTCTTGCCTCCCTCCTGATGAGTTTTGGAGGCACCTGGTGAGGCTGAACCCGAGGCTGGGAGTGGCAGCCAGCAGGACAGACTCTGCCTTGTTTGTGTTTAAAAAGCAGCCTCTGCTTCTAGTGGTGTCACACTGGCGCCCCCTGGTGAGCAGGGTTGGCCAAGGCAGCTTGGCAAGAGTAGGCTGGTGATCCTGCCTGGACTCCCCGGTCACCGTCTCTGTCTTTCTCAACCTTCCAGTGGACTTCGAGGGCTGCGCAGGGAGGAGCCCAGGAGCCTTCCTTTCCCAGGATTCACACTTCACGTTGCATCCGGATGGTGTGGTTGTGGTGAAACGGCCCCTGCATCTCCATGACCAGGAACTGAGCTTTCTTGTGCACACGTGGGACATGGAAGGCAGGAAACATTCAGCCAGAGTGACCCTGCAGTTCCAGCATCCCGGCCATCACCGGCTGCCCTCGCATGGGGTATGCACTCCCTTTCTCTGCTTCCATGGGGGAGAATTTGCTGGTCTTGGGAACAAGAGCCACCCCTTCCTTCCTTCCTTGCATGCAGAACCGTAGACCCCTGTCTTTCTTCACAGGAGACCCGTCCGGCTGCTCAGGCGGAGGTGCTGCTTTTTCCAAGGTCTTCACCTGGCCTGAGGCGGCAAAAGAGAGACTGGGTCATCCCTCCGATCCTTTGCTCTGAGAACGAGAGGGGGCCTTTCCCCAAGAACCTGGTGGCGGTAAGGACTTTGCTTCTGGCACCTTCTACTGGGATTCTCTTGCACATTTTTAAGTTAGTTAGTTTCCCGTCAGGAATTTTTTTATTGAATTTGTTTGCTGCCCGTCTCGCTGCAGGACCCCAAACATTTCAGATTGCGGCAGTGCTGAGTGTACATTTTGTCTAAACCCCTTGGATCTCCCTTCAGCCAAGCTTTGGGGCCCGCATTTCTGCATTGGGCCAGGCAACGCTGCCCCCACGGTCTGCTCTGGCCCAGACCGCCCCCGGGCCCTGCCCCAGTTCTCCCTTTGGCGTTCAGAAGGTGGAAGGGGCTGCAGGACCACCCCCATCGCTGACCTCTCACACCCCATCTCCCCAATCAGGTCAAGTCCAGCAAAGAAAAAGAGGGTACCGTCTACTATAGCATCACTGGGCAGGGGGCCGACAGCCCTCCAGTTGGCACCTTCATCATCGAGAGGGAAACTGGCATGCTGAAGGTGACTCGCCCGCTGGACAGGGAGAAGATTCCCCGCTACCAGGTGCGTCCAAGTCATCTGCTGTGGTTGTTCATTTTGCTTTCAATTTGTGGCGGCTGCATTGGGTGGCTGAGGAGGGCCACGTGCTTGGAAATCTGCCCTGTGGATTGGGAGGGATGGCAAAGGCCACTGTGTCCTCCAGGAGGCCAGGCCCGCTGCCAGGCCGTTTGCTGCCCCACTAGAGTGAGTCGGCAGAGGGGTTTCTTTCCTACCAGAAAGTCCTTCCAGAAACCCCTTCTAGAAGCAGGCGACTCTTGAGGAAGGCCGCTACCTTCTTGCTCCTGAAGCATCTGTGTTTTCTGTCCAATAAAAATTTCCCATCCCCTTTCGTGGTGGGTCTGACTCTAGAGGGTCTGAGAGGTTCCTGGGGACCTCCATCCCAGGGCAGGCTCTCCAATGAAGTTCTGCTCAGTGAAAAATGCTGCCTGGCTTCTCTTTTCATCCCTGGTGAACAACGGCCTTTCTCCATCTTCAATGCAGCTGTTTTCCCATGCGGTGTTAGCCAATGGCCAGACAGCAGAGGACCCCATGGAGGTGATCATCAATGTTGGTGACCAGAATGACAACCGTCCACAGTTCATCCAGAGCGTCTTCAAAGGGTCTGTGGAAGAGGGAGCTAAACCAGGTAGGGAAATCTGGTTGAGGTTACAGAAACCTCACTCCTGTTGCTGCTCTCTGTGACGCAGGCACAATCCCTCCTGGACAATGAAGAACAGTCTTGGTCAAAAACATCCAGATTGCAACCTCAGACTGTCCAGTCAATGCCAGCTCATAAATGCAGCTGTGGCATTAAGTGGCCAGTCCCTGTGACAGCCGGAGGTGCTTGTAGTTGCCCAGAAGCCAGACGCTTTTTCAGCTGACAGGCAAGGATGGTGCTGGGCTCATGCATGACTCCGGCGCTTGTTTCAAGGGAGGCTCTAAGCAGTCCCTCTGTTGGGTGTCCCCAGGAACGTCTGTGATGACAGTGACAGCCACAGATGCAGACGATGCGATTGACTCCTATAATGGGGTCATCACTTACTCCATCCTCAGCCAGGAACCTGAACCAGAAAAACAGATGTTTACTATCAATAATGAAACCGGCCTGATCAGCGTGGTTGTGTCAGGTCTGGACCGAGAGGTAAATGCCGGATGCTGGGACAGGTTGGGGGGGGGTCCAAGCAGATGGGGATTAATCATGGGGAGGGCTGCATTTTTACTGTTGATTTTATACTGCTTCACCAGAGTGAGCAAGGGAAGAATCCTTGTTTTCCCTAAAGGGAGCTACTGTTAGCTCTACAAGGTAGTCCAGATGCGAAGCACAACCCTGAGGGCTACATTGATGGTTGGGTGACATGAACAGAATCTTGCCAGACTGGAAGTATTTCTCCCCTCCTCTCCAATTCCTTTCCGGAAAACTACGGAGGGTCCCTTCTGAAGCATTCCCCTCGCCTTCCCTCCTGCTGTGGCTGAGGCCTTTTCCACAACAGGCCAGACTGCAGCTCTTCCTCCGTCTCCCAAGGTCGTTCCCTCCCACCCACCAGCACAGAGTGTTGTAGGGTGCATGTTTGCTTCTTTGCAGAGGATTCCCCAGTACACGCTGATCCTGCAAGCGACTGACCTGCTGGGACAAGGCTTAAGCAATACTGGGACGGCTGTGATTACCATCACCGATGCGAACGATAACCCGCCAATCTTCGACCCCCTCCTGGTAATGTGGGGACTTGTGCCCCCCCCCTTGCCCTTGGCCATGCTGGTGTCTCCCTGGGGCCTGAAACTCCTCTCCCTGTCGTGCAAAACTACTCAGCCACATCCTGCACTTTCTCTGCAGAGGTGCCTGGTGGAATTTGCGGCCTCCCATTGCCTGGAGTTGAACCTTCCCCCCAGTGGAGACAGGTGCTTGCTCTCCTCTGACAGCTCTGTTTCTTTTGCAGTACAATGTGATTGTGCCTGAGAATGAGGTGGGGGCCATGGTTGCCATCCTGAAGGTCAAAGATGCAGATGAAGAGAACAGCTTAGCTTGGAAAGCAAAGTACAGAATTGTGAAAGGGAACGAGGAGGCAAACTTTGTGGTCACTACTGACCCGGACACCAACAATGGTCTTTTGACCACAGCAAAGGTGAGCCGTGGGCCCCTCGTCGTGCAGGCTAGAATTCTGTGTATCCCCAGCCCCATATCCTGCTGGAATGTCAACTTGTGAGGTTCCACTTAGACCAAGTCAACTCTCCTTTTCTCCCTTCTTCCTGACCTTTCAGGAACTGGATTATGAGACCAAAAACCAATATATTCTCAAAGTGACCGTAGTGAACGAGGTTGAGTTTTCTGTCCGCCTCCCGACGTCCACGGCCACTATCACCGTCAATGTGAGCGATAAAAACGAACCCCCGGTCTTCGTTCCTCCCGAACTGAGGGTGTCAAAGCCTGAAGATCTTTCTCTTGGACAACCAATAGCTCAGTACACAGCCCAGGATCCTGACAAGTTCCTGCAGCAGACCCTCAGGTACGGGGCTGTGCAAAGATGCTTGTTTCAAAGTTGATCATTTTGAACAGGGAAACCCAGGAGCTTTGCAGGCCGCTGGTTTCAAAGATGCTGGCTGAGCCTGGGACTGGTTTTCTTGCAGATACTCGATGAGGAGTGACCCTGCAGGCTGGCTGAAAATTGATCCCGAAACGGGCCTGATTGTGTCAAAGGCCCTCCTAGATCGAGAGTCAGATTTTGTGAAGGATGATATTTACAAAGCCATCATTGTGGCAAGCGACAATGGTAAGCTTCCCCCCACCCCCCAAACTCTACATTTTGTCTTATACCCAAACCAAAAATATCCTGGGGAGTTGGGGGAGGGGAAATTGAGGGATGATGCCACCCAATTATATGGGCACCTGGCAATGCTGCCCTTCTCTGGCATTTCTCCAGACCCACCAGGGCCTCCTTCGCCAGGAGGAGGCCTCTCAGACTCCGTGTTTGTTATGAATGAAGGCGAATCTACGTGTCCCAGGATAATGTTGCAGGATCCAATCTGGGTCGGTCACCAGGACCAAAGGTTTCATCTTCTGAGTTTTCGGACTTCTGCTGGAGTCCATCTTCAGGGAACTTCTCTCTAGCAGAGTGTGTTTGTTGTCAGAAAGTGCCTTTTCTGGCAAGGAAACCATACAAAGCAGAAATAAAAGACTTCTAGAATTAAGACGGGTGTGCGATCCATATCAATATGGCACCATTCTCCAAACCCGGAATAAGAACTAGTGGCCTCCAGGTAGATTAAATGTTCCATGATAAGGGAGCTGTGACAATGGGGCCTCCTCAGCCCCTCATCAGAGAACTCTGAACATGAGTTCTCCACACCTCCACCAAAGCAGGAGGAACAGCTGGTTAAAAGCATGGCAGAAGCAATTGCCACTAGGGCAGGAGCTTTGTGGCGTAGCTGGTGGGAAGGGCCAACCTGAAACTCTGGCCCCCACAGGGGACCCCAAACTCCAGATTGCACTGGGAAAATGTGTCCTTTCAGGCCATGATTCAATATTTGAGGAGTTGCAGGGGGAGATAGACATGGAGGCCTCCCATTCCTGTACACAAGTTTTGAGAGGGCCTGGAGAAAACCAGCCTTGTCCTTCTAAAACTGTTTCTCAATCATGGCAACTTGAAGATGGGTGGGGAATTCTGGGCATCGATGTCCACCCTTCTTCAACTTGCCAAGGTTGAGAAATACTGTTCTGGTACCACAGTATCGCTGGCCTGATGCCTTCCTATGGAGAGTCCAGGTTGCTGTCCTGAGGCCCAGTGCCTTCGCTGCTTCCTCTGTGGAACTGACTCATCCTCCCCTCTCTGTCCAGCGAACGAGCCGGCCACTGGCACGGGTACTCTCCTTTTGCACCTGGAGGATGTGAATGACAACTGGCCAGAACCCGATCCCCGAATGTTCGACATCTGCAACCGCAATCCAGAGCCCCAGGTGTTAAGCATTGTGGACAAGGATATGCCGCCCAACACTAGCCCCTTCCTCGCAAAGCTGGAATTTGACTCCGGTGCCAATTGGACAGTCGAGACCAACAAAGGTAGGAAGAGAGTGGTCACTCTTTGCAGAACAAGGGAAGCAGATGGTCCAGCAACAGGAGACACTGCATCAAAACTTCCTGTTTTCCTCTGAACTCTTTCCTCCTTCTCCTCTCCAAAATTTGTGTTAAAGTATCAGAGGGAGATGTCATTAGTGTTGACATTCAGAACTATTAATGACTTCATTAGTTTTTAAATTAGTGCTTTAGAGCATGGATCTATCCAGCTCTGACTCACATTCTGGGTGTGTGTCCTTTGCAGACAGTCTAACACTTAACCTGATCAAGCATCTGGAGCCTGGGGAATACAACATCGCCCTCAAGCTGACCGATGGCCAGGGGCTCTCTCATGTCACCACAGTCAAGGCCAGTGTCTGTAACTGTGACGGGTCAGCCAAAAACTGTGATCGAAAGGCATTTCTGCCAGCAGGAATAGAGACCCCCGCCATTCTGGGCATCCTCGGGGGCATCCTTGCCCTTCTGAGTGAGTACTGTGCACCCTTTCTCCTTGTTACTCCCAGGGAAGCTGGGCTGCTCCTCTTAAGGGGCCACCTGCAAAATGCCGGGCTTCCCGGCGCTTGGATGCGAGGCCCATCCCAGGCCTGGCCTGGCCTGGATGTCCTGCAGACTCTGGCCAGTGGAGATGGCCAGGACCTGGATTTTACTCCAGGCTGGGGAGAATTGCTCTCTCTCTCTCATTCCTGGCTGCTGGAAACATTTGCTTCGTCCGAGATTTTGGCGGGCATGTTTTTCTGGCTCGGTAACCATGAGAGGAAGAGAGTTCTGCTTGTGTGGGCATCCATGAAGCTGGAGCTCAGCACCAGACTGATCTGCTTGTGAGCAGTTCAGATCAATGGCCACCCTCGTGCTCTGGTGGTATCCTGGTAGGAAGTGTATTCCCGAGACCGGATCTCTGTTGGCACCGAAGTTCTGGAAGGTGGCATCAAGTGGGTCTCAAGTTGTGTCAGGAGCTGGTCAGTGGTCCCTGCTTCAGCTGGATGAGCTTCCTGCTTGTGGCTGACGGGGCCTCTCGACCTGCCTTGCAGTATTGCTGCTGCTGCTGCTGCTGTTCGTGAGGAGGAGAAGGCAGGTGAAGGAGCCGCTGCTTCTCCCAGAGGACGACACGAGGGACAACGTCTACTACTACGACGAAGAAGGCGGAGGGGAGGAGGACCAGGTGGGCCCAGGATGCTTCTCCTCAGCACCCCCCGGCCCCCAGGCCTGAGTTGTGTTTCTGCTCCCCACAGCCCTTTACTTTCCTGCTCCTGCTCGTGGTAGTCCCACTTAACACCCCCCACTTGCACTGGCAGGGAGCTTCCGAGAGTGCCCGGCATTTGCTTGATTTATTTCGGCCGTTCCGCTTGCACATTCCCCAGCAGCTCTAGTAAAAACAACCTATTTAAACTGAGTTTTAGAAAGGAATCCCTGGAGGGTTAGTGCTCTGGTGAAAGGAAAATCGACCAAACAAAACCATTTTGTTCTTCCGAGGGAAGGAAGAAGAGGTCTCCTCTGTTCATTGTCTGTGCTGGAGGAAGGTTTTCTTCCTGCCTGTCTGCCAGACTCACCCTGACTCTGGTCAGCTCAAAGTCTAGGAGTTCTTCCTCTGCCCAAGAGCCTGAGGACATCTTGTCTTCCTAGGATTACGATCTGAGCCAGTTGCATCGAGGCCTGGATGCCCGCCCTGAAGTCACCCGGAATGACGTTGCTCCAACCCTCATGCCAGCCCCACAGTACCGTCCACGTCCTGCCAATCCCGATGAGATAGGCAATTTCATCGACGAGGTGAGTGGCACCCAGAGCCAGTTGGTGGGGAGATACCCTGTTCCAGGTACCTCAGGTGACCAAGCATTTTGTGAGAAGCAAAATGTGGGCGCAAAAGCTAAATCATAGTGGATGAGCAGCAATACATACAGCCTGGATAAAGACGGTCTACTCTCTTCAGCTTCTCCAAAGATTTGGTGACCCCTTTGTCATTGTTTCTCAACCTGAGCAACCTTAAGAAGTGTGGCTTCATTTGGCTGGGGAATTCTGGGTGTTGAGGTCCACATGTCTTAAAGTTGCTCAGGTTGAGAAAGACTGTTCTAGAGAGATGGTAGTGTTGTCATCAGCTTCCTCCACTGTTCAACAAATGGAAGTTTTGTTTGTTTCCCTTCTTACAGAACCTGAAGGCAGCAGACATGGACCCCACTGCTCCCCCCTATGACTCTCTGCTGGTGTTTGATTACGAAGGCAACGGCTCTGAGGCGACCTCTCTCAGTTCCCTCAATTCCTCCTATGGAGACCAGGACCAAGATTATGATTACTTGAATGACTGGGGCAACCGTTTCAAGAAGCTGGCTGACATGTATGGAGGGGGCGAAGAAGATGACTAGGGGTGACTGGGGTGGGGGGCAGAAGGCTAGAAAGGAGAGAGAATAGAGCTGACTCTTGGTGACTCTTGCCAACTTTTCCATAATTTATCAAAACATACACAAGAGATCCCCCTTGAAGTAGATTCTGACAATCTCACCTCTGTGGGATAATTATAATCAATGTGGTCTTGCTGATTCAATGCAACATGGAGTTTCCTTCTCAAAGGCTGGACACCCTCAGGTGGAAAAAGCTTCCCCAGGAAAGAGAAAAGTATCTGGATTCTGTAAAGGACAGAAAGACTCTCTGGTGCTTGGTCTTATATTCAAGAGTTTCACCTGAGTACTCTGTCTTCTTGTTCAGCTATTTTCCTGTTTGCTTAAGAACATCGGACTTCTTGGTGCAAAATTGTAATGCATCTTGGAGAATATGAGGAAAAATATGCAAGAAAAGATATTTTTGTGAGGGAGAGGATAAAACACCACTAACGCTTATGGTCACGTTATAAGACAGAGGTTTTGTTGAGGGGTTGAGGGTTTCTGCCCTCACAGATTCAAATCCCACAATCTGGATACAGTGGCTAATTATTGGAGATTTCTGCACGAAGAGCTAGCCAAGCCTGGTGTTTCCAAAGCCCTAACCAAAAATATTTCTGGGGATTCTGCACATCTGTCTGTGGCATTTGGTTTCCAGCACTTGGCTTTTACTGCTCAAAGGCAGGCTTGTGGGAATGATGAGTGTCTCTCAGAAGAGAGGCAGGATTTCTGATTTTGTTGCTACTGTTAACTAACATGGCTCTCCTCCTGGATGAATCCTTTTAGTATCCCTAAATCAACTTGCCCCAAGTGCCTTTGCTTTCAGACAATGCCTCTGCCCAACCTTTGCCTCTCAAATGCCTGGAGTCCAATCTGTGTCCGGTGAGGCATCTGCAAAACCATCTGGTATGATCCCTCTTATTGTGGCTTGAAAATCATGATTTATGGCTTGGATGATGTCTGTTCATTGCCTTTTAGGGTTTCATTAGCAAACCTGGTTTTAGCACAAGATGTTACTACCTGGTGCCTTCTCATAAAGAGCCTGAATGGGTGGGAGCAGTTGCCTTCCCTGGCCAACCCCTCCCTGCCTCTAGGCTTTTGGCTACCCCTTGGGCCAGAGGGGAGCTCAACTGTGGCCCAAAGCCTGGCCCGAGCTCTCGGGCCTCGAGCCTTCGTCTGGGGACCAGCCAGACACACTCCTGTGCAGGGCCTTATAAAATACAGCTGTACAAGATGGCGTTTGTCCACCAAGTAATCCATTTTAAGTAGAACCGTTTCTCCTTGACCCTGTCAAGAGAACCAACCAACCGTTTCCTGTGGTGTGTTTCCCATTCCCTAACCTGCCCAATTGATGGGCACCTTTTGGAAAATGGCTTTGTAATTTTAGATATGTATGCTAAGCTGTCCTTTTTGGATATATATTGTGGAAAGAATACAGAGATACACATTTTTTAAAGTTATTTTATTGCACAGATGCTTTTAAAAAATAATAAACTTGTTTAAAAAGTAGTTCTTTTCTTGAATCTCTGTCATATTTATTAACATTCTCCTGAGATTGCATGCTTTTTCTGACCTAAATGTTCTACTCACTATAGAGAGTTTTATTTTCAAAAGTTGTGGGGATGATTAACCAGATAAATCCAGGGTGAGCTTACATCTTCTTTCCTAACTTGCTGTTGGTCAAATGTGTACTGTGATTTCCATCATTTCAAAAAGCCATGCTTATTTCTGGACTCATAACTGCAATTGTTTTGCATGTGTGTAAAATTTTAAAAGCATTCAAATGGTCAACTTAGGATACTTGTTAATATGAAGTTAAATCACAGAATTGTACTTGGAAGTGAACGTCCTGCTCACCTAAAGCATTTTTGTGCCATGCTGCCATTGATGGCATAAATGCAGGGTCTGAAGCCATTCGCTTTCTAAGTGACCAGACAAAGGTGCCCTATCGATCCAGGTACACATTTATCTTTGGGGCTGATTGCTCTATTCTCTTTTCTACAGCAGAATTCTCTATATTCCCAAGAGCTTGCCTTCCGCTTCATTCCTTTACTTAGCACTGGGACCAAAAGAGGAATTTAACTTAAAACCTTTTGTTAGCCTAGAAATACATATTTTGGGACGCATTTATTACTGAGGTTCTTTCCACTTGGGAAAGTGAATTTGCTTTAAGGTCCTGCAGCTAATTTTGAAAAGTTTGGCTTCAGATTGATGGAAATAGTGTATTTTAATAAGTATTTTAATGAGCAAAGCCTATTTTGCCCTTTTGGCAAGGGACGTCCCCCACTGCGCCAGCCACCATCGCGTATCCATCCAAGACTTAATTTCAAGCGAATTCAACTCGCTGAACTGCGCGTGCGTCAGAGGACTCCCGGAACTCCTCCGGCCGCGAGACCTTCTCAAGAGGGCCGCTTCCCTTCGGCCCTCCCGGGTTTCCTCTCGACCTTCGCAAAAGGGCCGCCGGCGGGAACTTCCGCCCGTCTCCTTCGGCCCCTCCCGAGGCGGCGGTGTCGCCGTCGCGCAGGATCACCGGACCTTCCCAAGATGGCTGCGCCCGCGAGCGCCGAGGCCGCGGACGAGGAAGGGGCGGCGGCGGGGCTGCAGCGGGCGGCGGACGGGCTGCGGCTGCTGCTGGGCCGGAGCGCAGCCCCCGGTGAGAGCCGCGGGAGGAGGGGGCGGCCAGCTGTTTCTCTCGCCTTCCGCGCCGCACCTTCGACCGGTGTCTCCCTTCTCTCCGCAGGCCCGCTGCCGGCCCCGTCGCCAGAGTCGCTGCGCCTCGGGCTGGCCGCCCTGGAGGAGAGGCTGGCCCGGGACCCGCAGTGGGCCGCCCTGCGCAGGGCGAGGGCCGAGGTGGCCCGGCAGGCCCCGGGGCTGAGTCCTGGCCCCGACCCGCCCTGGGCCGGCGCCTGCCAGGCGCTGCTGCTGCTGCTCTGCCTCCAGCGCTGCCTGGCCCGCCTGGCCGCCGCGACCCCCGTAGCCGGCCGGGGCCAGCCCGGGCTCCCCCCTCCACTGCGCCCCGACGCCCTGAGCATCGCCCAGGAGGGCACCGTGCAGGCGGCGGTGCAGCTTGCGGTGGCGCTGGGCCTCCGCCCGTACCTGCTGCCCGGGGTAGCGCCCCCGCCGCGGGACAAGGCCGGCCTCCTCGCCGCCCAGCCCGAGGCCCCGCGGAGGCTCCTCGCCGCCTGCAGCGCCCTGAGGGAGGCGGCCGAGCACCCTGAGCTGGGCAGGCTGATCCTGGCGCGCCACCTGGGCGACCTGCTGGCCGGGCTGTGCCAGCTGGCCTTCTGCCCGGCAAGGAAGGCCCGGGCGGGTGCCGAGAGCCAGGTGAGTATTAAGGAGCAGCCCTTGGGGTCCTGCTTGCGTCTGCCCCGGTTCCTTGCCAGCAGCTGCCAGACTGGCCATTTCCATAAAGTGAAGGAAGTGTGAAATGGGAGGGGGGACCAGGAGGCCTCCCTGGGGAGTCTGGGGCTGGCCCCCCTTGGGCCCTACAGGTGAAAAGGTGCTGCCGGGCAGGGAGGTGCCCATGGGCCCCTTGCCACCACCTTAGTTGGCTGAGCCTCTTGCCAGGGCCACTGAAGAGGTATTTGGAATAATTTCCTCTAATTTCCTAGAATACTTTTGTGTGTTATTTTTCTACCTCTCTGGGACTTTCTCAGGGCCTGACAGAAGAGGAACGGAGCAGCTGCAAAGAAGCCTTGCAAGGCCTTTTGGACAAAGTGTACCAGCCCCTGGTGGTCCGGGAACTGTTGCTGCTTCAGGGGGGGCCTAAGCGGGTATGACTGAGTCATGGAGAAACTAGATTTGCATCCTCTGAGTTGGCTCCATTATGCGTGCTTGCTTGCAAATCTTTGTTCCTCTTCCTCCTGTGTAACCGAAGCATTTTTGGAGAGATCCCAGATTAGCCCTTGCATGTGGCTCAACTATGACAGTGGATCCATGCCACATGAGAACCACGACATTGATTCATTATCTCAGGAGGAACAAGCGCCAAAGGTATAGAACAGTCTTTCTCAACCTTGCCAATTTTATGTTAGCTGGGGAATTCTGGGAGTTAAAGTCCACATATCTTAAAGTTGGCACGGTTGATAAACACTGACATGGAAGCTTCCTTTTAGTGAGTCATACCCCATCCTGATCTGTCCTTCCAGCTCAGCGCTGCCTCTGCAGAACGGGTCTTTTTCGGTTCTGCTCCTTGACAGCCTGTCTCTAGAGACCCTGTCAAGAGACCCAGCTTTGGCCTTTATGAATTCCTAGCACATTAGCACATGTATCAGTGAGAGAGGAAAGGAAGAGGCATAACAGCCCCCTTGTCTAAACTGGGATGGGATACAATCTGACTGAGCTTCAGGGCCAACCCAGTCTTGTTAGCTGCCATTCTGCTGCTAGGTGAATGGTACCCTCAGAGAAGCTTTCAGTTAAATAACTTGAGTCCGTTCTGTTTGGGGAAGGGCAGGGGATGCCTCTGTTGCCTGGTGTCGAGGCCCATCGGGGCAAGGCAGAAGAAGGGGTGCTGCACAGCGGGGTTGGTCATGGTCCAGCGTGCACGTATGTTTCTTTTTCAGGCCTCCCATCCCAGCCAGAAGAACAGCAGGCCCTGTATGGCACCAGCACCAGCCTGGCTTCAGCGCCTTTGTGGGCACCTGCTGTCCGGGAGACTGTTAAGACCCGGTGGAGTTCAGGCTGTGATCCGTGGCATCCTGGAAGGAGCCGGAGGTGAGTGAGGCCAGACAAATCGGCCATTAAAAGGTTATAACAAGAGCAGAAAGGTGTCCTATCTTCCAGTGTTTTTAAACTTGGCACAGCCAAGTTTAAATATAATAGCTACTATTTTAATAAATAAGGATCTGCATGAAACAGGAAAATATTTTGAAACTGGAAAATCATTTGTGTGCCAGTGTTTTTTTGGATCAGTCCAGTTTGCCAGAACCAAACCTGGACTTCTAGATGGGGCAAATAAGGCAACCTGGTGTGTGATCTTCCCAGGCCTTCCTGCTTACCCAGTCAGCTGCTGCCGGCCTCTCTGCACGGCATTTCCCACGAACCAGCTCTTCTAGGCAGAGAGCAACTCAGTCCCAGACTTTTTGCACCTCTCTTTAAAAACAGCAAGAGCAGAAAGGATAAGGAAGATCTAAGGTAGCCTGGCAAGATACTGAGCTAGGCACTCACTGCCGTGGCTTTGGTGAAGGTTGCCTTCCTGGAGGAGGAAATTGTGATTCTCTGTGGCCACAGGATGGGCGATTTCTCTGTGTGCTCATCTAACATGGAGCCTCCATTTTCCAGCTGGGGCTGTGGGGGGCAGTGGTGCAGAAGCGGCAGCAGCTGACTGGCAGAAGTGTGAGGCCATAGCCAAGATTCTGTCCTCATGTCCTCAGCAGTCTCTGTCCCTGGAGGATTATTGTCAACAGATTTGCCCACAGGTACATCTTCTGCCCCTTCCCTTTACCCAGCGACTGACATTCCGGTGCAACCCAGCTGGCGCAAGAACGTTTGTGAGTCAGAGCTGCCAGAGAGGCTCCTGCTGGATGGATGCCCTGCGAGGCAGAGCACCTTTCCCCTCCATCTGGTCCTTGCAAAGCGGCTCTCTTTTCCTGGGTTGACCCTCGGGGTCTGTAGTTTCTGCTGAGCCTTGGGGGCTTGTAGCCCTGTTCCCCCCTCCCCCTTCTGGAAGTTTGTGATGGAGTGTGTGCTGTAGAACATAACTTTAGAAACACTGCTAGTGAGCATCATGTATATTGAGCATAAAACTGCTTTTGTCCTTTTCTTTCAAAGATTCTGCAGCTGTTTCTCATTCAGGATGAGCTGACAGTGCGCCAGTTCCAACGAGTGGCAACCACAACCGTCCTCGCCGTGGTGAGGCAACACCCACAGCAGGCAGAGAAGCATCTGCTGCGTCCCCTGCTGGAGCCCCTCTTGCGCTGCCTGGGGGAGCCAGGTAACGGCCTCCCACCTCTGAACGCTTGGCCAGGCTGGGGAATCAGACGATGCCTGCAGGAGAGGCAGAGGAGAACCCACTTTTATTGCTTTTAGAACTTTAGAATTGTAAGCTGCCCAGAGTCACTTGGTTGAGGTGGCCAGATATAGAGATTGATTGATTGAGTGAATGATTGATTGAACGAACGAACGAATACATTTCTGTCATTTTAGAACAGACATGTCAAACGCAAGGCCCGGGGGCTGGATGCGGCCCGCGAAGTGGTTTCATGTGGCCCGCGAAGCCATTCTGGAAACAGTGAGGGAACGGCCCCCGCTACCTTGGCCCTGGCCCAGGCCGGCCAGGAGCCAATATACAATTTTGTGGTGGCCATCTATGCTGAAACGCATTCAGTCTTAGCTCCACAAGGCTGTCTAGAAACAACGAGGAACCAGCCCCTGCCGCGTCAGTCCCGCCCCCTGGGTGCATGCTGGGGAGGTGTCACCCTTTGTGAGGAATGAAGAAATGGACCATGCCTTGGCGCTTGCCCCAGTCCCACCCCCTTCTGCCAGAGACCCT